GGAATAGAAAGAGAGAGGCATACAAGGAGGGGATTGTACCTTCTACAGTAAAGTTCGGTAACCTACCAAGCCTAACAATTATATAACTCAATATATAATTTGAACAGCCGGTAGGACGGGCGCGGGGCCAGCTAGGACGGGCGCGGGGGCCATAAGGACGGGCACCGGGGCCGGTAGGACGGGCGCGGGGTCGGCTAGGACGGGCGCGGGGGCCATAAGGACGGGCGCGGGGGGCGTAAGGACGGGCGCGGGCCAGCTAGGACGGGCGTGGGGCCAGCTAGGACGGGCGCGGGGGCGCAGCTAGGACGGGCGCGCGGGCGCGGCTAGGTCGGGCAGCTAGGAGAGGCGGCTAGGGCGGGGCGAGGTCCTAGAGCGGAAGCGTGGGAGGGCGGCGGGACCTACCTACTGCTGATACCATCTTAGAACTGAATGAATAATTGAGTATAGAGAGAGAGTACAAGTGAATATACCTACACTGAGGGAAAAAACTCTCCGGATGCAGGGGATCTATTGCGTTTTTTAGCCATAATTTCAGAGAATGATTAAGCCTTAATGTGAGAACATTCTTGTGTCATGGGCACATGTAGTCTCAACTCTGTCCCTTGGTGTTAGCTCGTTCACCTCATACAAACATGCTCAGTTCACATTATACATACAAGGTCATCATCCGGACAGTTTTTTCCCTTGTCACCAAAAGATCTACTAATCCAGATTCTAGTAGCTAGTCCATCTTCCCCCAGCCTTGATCACAGCACGCACACGCTTCGGCATGCTGTCTATGAGCCTCTTGCAAAAATCCGCGGGAATCTGCTCCCACTCCTCTTGGATCCGCTCCCAAAGTTCCACCATTCCTGATGGTGGCTGCTCGTACTTGGACAGCTCCTTTTTGAGGTGAGCCCAGAGATTCTCGATCGGGTTAAGATCGGGGGAGGAGGAGGGCCAGACGAGCACGGAATAGTCCTGCTCCCCAAGGTATTCCTGCACTAGGCGACACTTATGCTTGGGGTCGTTATCATGCTGGAAAATGACTTTACATGGCGTGAGGCTATAGAACTCGATAGTGGATGTGAGTTCATCCTGTAAAATGCTGCGATACAATGGCCCATCCATCCTCCCATCTATCTTGCACATAAAACCCGCGCCGTCATAGGTCAGGCATCCCCACACCATCACAGAACCCCCTCCATGCTTCACCGTTTGTCGGATTTGATGGCTCTGCAGGTTGTTGCCGTCGCGGATCCAGGCGTATGCGCGGCCGTCCGAGCAAAACCGATTTATCTTGCATTCGTCGGACCAAATAACGCGCTTCCAGTCCTCAAGCGTCCAGTCTACGTGCGCCCTGGCAAACTCCAGCCTGTCCCTAATGTTCTGCTTGGACAGTCGCGGTTTCTTCGGTTGCGATACTGCGACTAGACCAGCTTCACGAAGAGAATTCCTAACTGTCTTGGGGCATACGTTAACATCGTGTGCTGTTCCTAGCATTTTCGCCGCGTCAACGCTCGTTTTCGCCGCGCCACTAGTAATAGCTCGAATAACGGTGCGCTGGAGTCGGGGTGATATAACACGTGGCCTTCCACCTGGCGGCATTGTGGGTCGCACCTCTTCGCGGCTAGTCTCACCGATGACTTTGAGACCGTAGTCATGGACGGTGCTTTTACCTACACCTAAATCTTTCGCTATTTTCCGCACGCTAACCCCCTTGCGCAGAAGCTCGATAATACGTGCTCGTCGCTTCTCATCGACCGGCTTCATGGCGTCTGGACCGTGTGCGGACTACGGGGCTACGGAGCGGCGGCGAGAAGTTCGCTAGATCGAGACCTAATTTAAGACCGGTGGCGAATGTAGATGTCGAACGTCGATCGGAAAAAACTGTCCGGAAGCAGTCCATCTTGCAAAGCCTTATCATACGTTAGACCTCTTCGTTATTACAAACCTCAACTCGGTGGGTTCATGAATATACGCACTGTTATACACACAAGGAAATTTGTGGAAACTTATTGTTACCATAACAGGCAAAAATTGACCGGCAATAGCCTAAACCCATTTATCCGGACAGTTTTTTCCCTCAGTGTAAGTGTTGTACCCTCTAAGAGATGGACCTATACAGTCTATACAAATACCGTAATCCCCCGGATATAACACCCCGGGTGTAGTACAAAATTCGGGCAAAAATGGGGGGGTGGGTGCTCTATTTCGCGTTTATGCTATAGCACCCTGGTGTTATATTTGAGGATATATTTTTTAAGGTTGCATTGTGTTCCTTGCACAATAAGCTTTCCGGCCATGTTGTTTTGGGGTTGAAAGGATTGCAAGTGTGCGCGATCTGAAGGGTCAAAGTCCGCCTGTGGGTCAAGCCCGTTCTAGTCAGCCATGCATGCTCGTAAACGAGTGTGCGACCTAGCATGAAACATCCCTCTCAGGCGTCCCCTCTGTTGTCAGACCCAGGCGATGCCCTCCCTCCAGCGACATGCCCAACGGGTCGCCCACCAATCCCGTGGCGCTTAGAGCACAAGCTGATTGGCGAGGTTGCTGGGAGTTGTCGTTGGTATTTCTTGGTGGGGGCTTCAGGGGGGAAGATCCATCGTTTCCCTCCCTCCCTTTCCAGCCCCTCGTCCCCCTAGCATGACGAACGCTGGAATCAGCGTTCTCTTCAGCAAGAGAGCTTCTAACCTTCGCAGCAGTAGGAATGTACCCGCCTCCTCCTCTCGTCATATAGCTCCCGTAGTGCCAGCCCCCACGGGCTGGCTTCGTCGTGGATATGTTCAGGGGGATGACGACATCGATGACGTATTGCCCCACCTCGATGGAGATGACGAGGAACATGCAGACGAGACTGCTGCCAACGGCGATAATGGCGAGGGCGGTGCTGACGGTGATGCGGAGTACGAGGACTTTGCTGCGGCAGCGGCTGCTGATCCGTACGGGGACTTCGATGATCCTATGGCGATGCCCGACGTCGTCGTGCCGTCGTTTCCAGGGTACTCCGAGGCTGAAACAGATCCGGAATCCGTCAACCACGATGAGACACCGCCATCGCCACGGTCGAATCTGACGGGGAGAAAGCGGCGCTCAATTTCCGTTCGGGAGAAGCTGATGTGGTGCGCCATGTTCGACAGCCTTCCCGCCCCCTCGCAGCGAATGGTGGCGCGCATGGCGAAGGTGCAGCCGCAAATGATTCGTGAGTGGATGAAATCTCGTGAGCAGCTGAAGCAAGCGGCACCTGGTCGGAAGCGCCTTCGCGGAGCAGGCAGGAAGAGCAAGTACCCTGACATGGAGAGAGCTGTCTATCGCCGGTACCTTAGCGCGCGACGGCGAGGTCTCCCCGTGTCCATCGGTCTCCTCCAGACCTGGAGCCGTGACTGGATGAAGGACCACTTCCCGACGGTGCAATGGCGGGCCTCTTCGCGCTGGTCCTTCCGTTTCCGTCGTCGTTGGGGACTAACAGTGCGTGTGAAGACTAAAATGGGACAGAAGCTCCCTGCCGGTAAGCCGACACTCTAGTTTCCCTCTCCCTTCCACCGAAATTCATCTTTCCAAGTCAGTTGTGCACGTCGAATTTTACAGCGTCTCGGTTTTCTCCTGCTGCGTTCGACTCATGCTTAGCGACTCTACCCACATGCTCCCCACCCTCTGTTTTCTTTTCCACCGCAGACAGTGGGCCCAAGTGTGAACGCTTCTGGCAGTTTGTGCGGCAGATGGTGCTGAAGCGGCAAATCATGCCGGAGTTCATCATTAATGCAGATCAAACGCCGCTCTACCTCGAAATGCCCCTTGAGCGCACCCTGGAACGTCGCGGTGCCCGCACTGTCCATGTCCGCACTGCTGGATATGAGAAGGAGCGGGTGACCGTGATGTTGGCATGCACGGCCACCGGCGAGAAGCTCCCCCCGTACGTCATCTTCAAGAGGAAGAACCCTCCCCAGTGTTACACTCCCGCAGGTAAGTTTGGTGCTGATTACCGGTACATGCTGTTCTGTTTTGTTTCCTACAACCAATAAGCAATGAATAAGAGTCAAAAACCGGTCTAATCTACGCTCTGCCCCTCCCCCCTCCCCCTCCTTTACAGACGTCGTAGTGCGCGCCCATCCGAAGGGGTGGATGGACGAGCGCCTCGTCCAGGACTGGACCACGAAAGTCGTCGCACCGTTCGTGACAACAGCGCGACGACAGCGCCCGCCATCCCTCCTCGTCCTCGATTCCTACAAGGGGCACCTGACCCCTGCTGTCCGCGCCACCTTATCCCTATTCCGCCTTTTCCCTGCAGTCATTCCAGGGGGCTGCACTCCGTACGTGCAGCCACTGGATGTGAGCATCAACAAATCATTCAAGGCAGGTGTACGATCCCAGTACACCAAATGGTTTGCTGAACAAGGGATCAACATGACGACCAAGGCTGGTGAGTTTGATCGGCGCCTAGACCCATACGAATCGTGACGGAATTTCACTGCCCATTCGCGAATCCGCATGTGAATGCAACGTTTGTGTTGTTTCCGACCCACTGACAAATCTCACTCTCTCTATGCCAGGGAACCTGAAGAAGCCACCACCGGACGTGGTGCTCAAGTGGGTCTCACGGGCGTGGGCTGCAGTGCCGTATACCCTCATCCAAAAAGCTTTCAAGACCTGTGGCATCTCGAATGCCACAGATGGGAGCGAGGATCATCTGATCCTCGCTCACATGCGCGATGGGAATGAGGTGGAGGTGCTGGAGGAGGTTGTGCCTGAGGACTCCCCCAATCCCCCACAGCCAGCACCCCCTGCCGCCTCCCCCCAGGCCCCCCGCCGACCCCAGGAGGTGGTGGCGGAGAATCTGGACGAGGACGCCTGCTCTGAGGATTTTTCTGGATGTAATTCTGATCAGGAGAGTGACGATGATGGCGAGGAGGTAGAAGGGGGACACGAAGAGGAGGAGGCGGAGGAGATTCCTTGGGAGGATGATGTGTAGAGGAATGCCTAGTGTAGTTGCTAGTCTGGCATGTGTAGTAGGGCAACTGTAGTGATTGATGGTGCCTAAACTTACATTAATATTGTAGTACTCCGCAAATTGAAAAATAGGCAAAAGCAATGGGGTGGGTGCTATACCAGGTTCCTCAAAAGGTGGGTGTACAATTAAGGGTTCGTCAATAGAACACCCACCCCGGATATAACACCACTGGGTGCTTTATTCCGGCGGGTGTTATATCCGGGGGATTACGGTATAACAAATACATGTTTGATAATATATTCTTCTTCTATATACAAGAAATGTCTAAGCCTGATGGCGTGCCTGCCTGTTGAAGCACACAGAGGGCGGCGCTAAAAGTCCTCATCAAAACAAACAGAATTCTATACCCTATTTTATGACACACGAGAATCCGATTGCAATGTTAGATCCATTGAAAATACATTTCAGAAGTTACGTCCGTGATACGTTCTATACCGAAGCAAGCTTGGGGTGCGAACCACGCTAGGGAGAGAATGCAACGTAGAGGCCTTGTGAACACCAACACAAGGCAAGGCACACATTCCCTTCAGATAATCGTCGTGAACACCTTTCCATTCAGAAAGAAACTCTAGAAACATTGCAACTATTGCCAATACACCCAGAACAGCTTGTATTGCACGCGCCACACGAAGCATCACGTATTCCCTACTTGGCCCGAGCCCAAGCAACCAAGCCCTGACACAGCCTCAAGAGCCCCTGCTCATGGTTCAAGCAGCGGTCTTGGCGGCGGCGCGCGCCTTGCGCATTTCGTCGACAATGGAGAGCTTGATGCCGCGGCCCTTGGGCAGCGAGACCCAGGGCTTGGCGCCCTGCCCCACCAGGAAGACGTTGGTGAGGCGCGTGGCGAACTGGTGGCCCGCCGCGTCCTTCACGTGGCAGATGTCAAAGCTGCCCTTGTGCCGCTCCCGGTGCTCCATCACGCCCACGCGCCCCCTGTTGCGCCCGCCTGCCACCAACGCCAAGGCACGCAGTGGAATCAAAGTGGGGGTTAAGCATAGGAAAGGGAAGGTGCTCCGACATGCCCACATGCTCCCTGTTGCGGCCACTGGCGATGGGCCAAGCATTGGAAAGGACTCAGAGAGAAGAGGGGTAGCAGGAACTAGTGGGGAGAGGGCATAGGAAGAGAGGGGTGACAAAGAGGGGAGCAACAGCAACGCATTGACGAGAGTAACACCACACGGGCAATCCGTTACAGAGCATCGCCCACCTTCACCCAACTTTCTAAACGCTGAGCGGTGAGGGGAGCAGAACGCTAGCACGACGCTGTTGTGGATGCAGTGCAGCACATGCAGGAGCCGGTCGCACCGCCGCTGATCTCACACCCTGCCATGCGCACAGGTGCACACGCCCTTCCACACGCATGCGACCTGCCCCGCGCTCGTGCTGCATCCCCCCCCAGCTCCCCCATACCCCTCTCAATCCCACCCCCCATGCGTCGCTGCTCCCCGGACTTGCCACCATGCCACGGAATACAGCGACGCCAGGACCATCGAGAACGCGCTACCACGCGCTGACACGCGCTAACCAGGGGCTCACTGCTGCGAGCCTAACGCACCTCCTGCTGAATGCATGCCCGCAGCGCAGCAGACCACTCCTGACCATAAGGATGTGCCTTCCACCACTGACCACGCACATGCCCCTCTCCTCCCCGACTTACGAATGCCGCCTCCCCTCATCTCACCAGAGGCCATGCAGATGCCTGCACTCACCTTCCTCTGCACTCACCAGTGATACAGATGGCACCTCCCCCTGAGCATCGGTGTCCATGCAGATGTTACCTCCCCCTGCGCTCACCGGTGACCATGCAGATGTTGCCGATGTCGAAGCGGATGTGCTCGACGACCTTGCCGGTTTCCAGGTCGATCTTCACCGTGTCGTTCACCTTGATCACCGGGTCGGGGTACCGGATCGTGCGCCCGTCGTTCGTCACGATGTACGGGATGCCGCGATCGCCCACGCGCTGCGCGCGCACGCGGCACAGCTTGTACTGCGCGCGCGGGCGGGGGTAGGAAGAGGGGAGTGAGGGAGGGGAGCGGGGGGGAGCAGTAAGGACGAGAACGAAGGACAACAAGGGTGGTGTCTCGACATGCTATGTGTGCAGTGCGGCACAGCTCGTTAGGGAATCGGGGGGAAGCGGAGGGGGTTGGGGGGGAGCGGAATGGGGGTGTTGAGCACGGCGGAGTGTTCTACTAAGACCTGAGCTCTGCACGCGGCTGCCTGATCTACAATATACGATGGAACCGGATAGCGCGCGCCTTTTCTTCGCACTCTCCTGCACAGTAGCGGCCCACACGTAGCACCTAGCTGTCAAACCCCTCCACCTCTACCTCCACATAGCTGTTAAGCCCCCAGCCCCCAGCTTCCCCGGCTCTAGCTGCGACACTGCCGCACCCCAACCATCGCCCACCATAGCTCAAACGCCCCTGATGAAACGCCCACTTGCCGCGCCAGTAGACCCCTCTCATTCCTCCGCAAACCCCGCCCGACGACCTCCACTCTGCGCCCTTGCCCCAGCCTGCCCGCTCATACTCTCCTCCCTTTGCCACCCATCCCTCTCCGTCTATGCTGCGTGGGTGGGTGGGAAGCAGGCGCGCGCGGGGGAGACGTTACCTTGGCCTCGTCGGGCGTGATGCGGTGCAGCGTGAAGCGGCCCTTGGTGTCGTACAGCAGACGGAAGTTCTCGTCCGTCTTCGCGATCGATATCACGTCTGCCCAGCACGCAGGGTACGCGCACACACGTAGACAGGGGCAGAGGCAGAGGCACACACACACGCACACACGAGCATACGAGACAACCGGAGAAGCACAACAGGAGTCGGAGAGGTGGGGAGAGGGGGGAGTTTAAGTGCCAGAAGAGGAAAACGACGACGCACGTGATGCACAAAACGGACGTGCGAGACCCGGTGCTTCGACCAAGTGACGTAACGTAGTGCAGTGACGCATGACGAAAGCCAATGGGGCTTCAAACGCGTGGGAGGCCAATTCGACGTGAAGCGCTGTAGAGAATGTTGGAGGCCAATGGAGCAGGCAGAGCCACGGGACGCACGCCAACAAGGGCGGCGGGCTCTGCTGCAACGTAACCTCTCAGTCCATGTGCCAGGAATGTAACGGGCGTTGCACTGCCGGCACCCACACGCCCACCATGCCGGCCGCCGTTACAGCAGCCGGCTGGCAGTCAAGCAGGTGAAGGTGCGCGCCCTGACTAGTCCTGGACTTTGAGCAAACTGCCCTTGTCCCATCGCCGTTCTCTCTTCACTGCTTCGAAAACTGTGCAAATTTTCTGAGCTATCCCCTCTGTGGTCTCAACGCTCACAGACGCCTGAATAAATGCGTTACTAACGAGTTCTGCCCGCTACAGCGAGTAGCTGACAGCGCACATCCGTAGTTGAAAAAGAGGAGGCTGCGAACGGTAATCGACAGCGTCTAGGGGCTGCTGACTAGAGTCACGAGATTAGTTAGCTAGAGACAGGAGTACTGTCGCACCAAGATCCCTTCCAGCTGGAGCATTTGACGAAAAATTGCGCGCGCCGGGTCTCTAAAGGTATAGACGCACACCCAAGGCAGAAACCTTAGACGTAGTAGTAATTAGGGATCGACTAAACCGGTACCTGATGCCCGTGGCGGAGATACGGCTAATTTGGCGGCAGCGGTGCAAAACGGAGGAACGCGGCCTTGAAAACTGGAGCCCAGAGGAGGAGATGACCGTTACGACCCGTGGCGATAACCCTTACGACTCGCGGCGATCACCCTTTCGACCCGTGCGAACTCGGCGAGGTACTTGCGTGTCACATTGGCCTGCTGTGGCTCGCATCGAATCCACCAACTCGCGAGCACGAGGTCAGTCTCCTAAGTACGTAGTAGAATTCGTTGCACCCGGCAGCAGAGCAAGTTTCCATGAACCGGCAGCAGCAGCAGCAGCAGCGGGACGTACCCATGAAGCCGGCGGGGAAGGTTTTGTCGGTGCGGATCTTGGCGTCGACGGCGATGAGGCGCTGCATGACGATGGCGTTCACCTCGCGGTACGTCAGCGCGTACTTGAGCCGGTTGCGCAGAATCACCGCCAGCGGCAGGCACTCGCGCTCCTTGTGCGGCCCGGGGGACGGCTTCGGGGCCTGCACGATTCGCAGGCACGTGGGGGAGGGGGTGTTGGGGGGGAGGGAAGGACCAGAGAAAGAGAAAACGTCGTGAGTGTTAGCAGCTGTGCTATGGCGCCAGAATTCGGTCGAATATAACGTCGAGACGAAGAGCAGGCAAGGTAGGGATATCTGAAAGACGAATCGGCTGGGGAGATCTCGGAATATGTGGCAATTCTAGGGCTGCTGGTGCAAGTGCCATGGGACGCCGAAGAACCCTAAAATCTTGTGAAGGGGAAAGCAGCTAGCTTCGCGAGACGATCAACGGAAGGACGTTGCGAAGCAAGAAGGGACTAAGATGAGCTGCTAAGAACGGTCGGATCGGACTAAAAAGAGCTGCTAAGTAGGCTGATGGGAGGAAAGGCGGCAGCGCGGGACTCACGAAGGCTCCCCCGAGCTTGTCAAGCATCCAGTGGCGTGGCGCATTGAGCCTCTTCAAGTGCTTCTTCAATCCTCGAGCCTGCAGCAGCACACGCGCAACGAGCGTCAACGCAAGAACTAGCCCGTATCGCGGCTAAACTATGGAAAGATGCAGGACGGGTGGGAACGGTGGCGGGAGGTGGACGCACCATGTTGCGCGCTGGGGAAGGGCCAGCGAGAAAGAGAAGGAAAGAGGTTGGACTCCAACCAGAGGGAGAGGAAAAAGGTGGACAAGGGAGAGAAAAGGCAAAGGCGGGGACCGAGGCGATGGTGGGAGAAGGCAAGGGAGAGGGGAGTGGGAAGGAGACGAGGGAAGGGAAGGCCGAAAATGGGGAGCAGATGGCTTCCCTCCAGAGGGTGGTGCACCACCACCCCTCCGAGATGTACAGTTTACCTCCTTGCGGCCGCTTCGACAGTTGTTTTTGTGCGTTCGTCCGAAATAGTGCATGTTGTGAAAACAGTTTCTACAGACTATATTACAAATAGCAAATGCAGCAAGTAATAACTTCAAAACGGGCTTTGCACCGCCAAAGATTCTCGTGAATCACATAATTGTGTTTTACACAAAAAATACATTACGGAAGTGCAGGAATTCATCATTTAACTTACTACTGTACTACTCGATACTTTTGTAGTAGGACCATTTTATGACATTCCTACTAGAGTAGTGGGGAAAGTTGTGACTATGGGAAAATGTTGAGGGATACAAAACTAGGGCTGTACTCACTAAGAACTAAACTAGCTAGGCTATGAACAAAAATAACATAGCTAAGCTGTATAAATAGATTTGTTGACACACCCCTTAGCCTAGATAGTGGAAGTTCATAAAAAAGGCAGAGTACACCAGGGCAACGCTACTAGTCTGACCTCTGGTAGGGCCTAGGAAGAGACACGCGGCACTACGAGTCCAACCTCTGAAGCAAGGGTCCGAAGGCCAGTCAGCAAGAGTACAAACTAAGAAAGAGTAACTCAGGGCAGCACTACTAGTCCAGACTCTGAGACAAGAACCACAAGGCTAGTCAAGATAGTATAGGGAATAGTACACAAGTCAGGGTCCTAGAAAGTGAGGAGCTACTAGAACTAGACCAAGCTGTAAGCAGTGTCGTTGATGATCTTTAAGCGCAAGCGCCTTAGAAAAGATATCAGCTGTGTTGGCTCTGGAGGCCAAGTGTACTACGCGTGCCTGGAAGCGCTGCTGTAGCTCGCGCAGGAGGAAGTACCGTAGCTGGATGTGCTTCGCTCAACCCTCTAGTCAAGGCTCCTGACACAGGAGGATCATGGCCCTGTTGTCAGCGTACAGGACCGGGGGAGAGCTAGGCCGCTCACCTAAGTCTGTGAGCAAGAACGTCAGCCAGCGGAGATCCTATGCCGCCATAACACCAGCGTAGATCTTAGCCTCACAGCTAGACTGTGCAACAGATGAGGAACGGGTGGACCTCCACAAGATAGCGCCTGCACCAAGGCAAAAGTAGTAACCCTGGAAGGACCGGAGCGTCTCAACGTCGTCCGACCACAAAGTGTCTGTGTGCCCGGTGAGAACCATTGGCATGCGTCCTCCTAGCACTAGCCCCATGCATCATGTACTTGCTAGATAACGCAACACCCTCTTAGCGGCCGACCAATGCTGGGGTCGGTGTCAGCCCGTCGCCACAAAGCAAGCGAGGAGACTAAAACGCTATGTAAGATCTAGATAAGTGCAAGTCATCAGGTGCATGAGGTAGCCCACAATTTCTGCGTACTGACCACTGGGCTCTACTCGCTCGTCAGGGACTGGAGTCGAGAGCCTCTGATCTACTAACAGAGGGGTGGATTGTGTGGAGGAGAACTGAAGGCCGAACCTCTGAAGGACTTGGCGCACCAAGTGTGACTGTGTGAGAATAATGGTGCACGCTGCTCTGTCCCTGGAGAGCCCAAGGTAGCGGCGCACCTCTCCTAGGTTAGGGCAGGTGTGTCTCATTAGCAGCTCGGGAAAAACGCCGTGAAGAAGTCCAGCGAGTGAAGCTCATAGTCGCGCTGTTCTGCTACGTGAAACAGCGCCCGAAGGGTGGTCATCTTCAGGGTCGTGGCGAAGGCTTGAAAGAAGTCAACCCCCTTGCGCTAACTGAAGCCTCTAGCAATGTACACGCCTTGAACACCGGCGGCTCTCCAGGAGGGCGCTTCACCTTGAAGAGCCAACGGCCATCGACTACGTTTGCCCCAGGGGGGGGGAACTACGTCGACGTAGGTGCCGGTGCATCTCCAAGATGCCATCTCTCCATTCATGGCAGCTATCCACTGAGAGGCGCAGGGTCCCGAAGTCGCCTCAGCGTAGATGGGGGGGGGGGTCGGGATGTCAAGAGCATCAGGGTCACCCTCAGGGGCTAGCAGCATGGAGTAGAGATGAGGAGCGGCCTCGGACAGGAAAGCTAGCTCGTACTGCCTGTCCTCTAGGACGTCACTGCCAAGGGCATGTGCACCCCCAGCGGAGTGAGGACGGCCAGGGTCAGAGATAAGAATAGTGGCGTAGTCAAGGCGGCAGGTAAAGGCAAAGTCAGCGATGGCAGCGACAAGAGTGTCGAGACTAGAGACACGAACGGACGGGTCGGTAACAAGAGAGGTGAGGACACGGGGAACAAGAGGGTGATCAGCACGGAGAAAGTCAGAGAAAGGAGGCAGGGAGACAGCGAGGGATGACTGAGGAGGCGACGGGAGAAGAGGAGGGGGAGGAGCAGGAGATGCATGAGAACAGAGAGACATAGGGTGCACACCCGGAGCGAGAGAGACAAGACGAGCACAAGAGGGGCGGTGAGTTCGCCTCCGTTCGCTTCGGTCCGCCTCCGGTCGCCACCAGCAAGTGGGGGGGGTAGGGTCAGGAGACAATGGAGGAGACACAGGAGGAGAACGAGGGGGGAGACGAGTCGGGGACAAGTCCGATGGAGGGAACACAAGACCGTAGACAGGAGGAGGAGGAGGCGTGGGCAGTCGGTCGGGGGAGGGAAGATCGAAAGGGCGAGGGGCAGACATAGGTGGCGACTGTGGCTGCTCTGCGCCCACGATAAGACCTCCAACCTCACCATGGCTACCCCCAGTACTCGCCTCGACAGCACCCCCAGGACCAGCACCCCCAGAACTAGAACCCTCTCCAGCACCCGCGCCACCCCCAGGACTGTCCGGACTCACCACAACAGCACCCCCACGACTAGCGCCCCCACAACGAGCACCCCCCTCAGAACCAACACCCAAAGGGCCAACACCCTCAGAGCCAACTGACCCCTGCTGCAGCTGCTGCTGCTGCTGCGGCGATGACGGCTGTGGCTGCGACTGCCATGATGACTACGGCTGCTGCGGTGGCAGAGGAGACACCGAGGCCAAGGGGGCAGGCGCCGCAGCAGCAGGCGGTGGGCCCTGAGCCTCAGGCCCCCTAGAGTCAGTAGAATCCTCCGTCTGGCAAACCGAGGGAAGGGGAGGTGACATGAGACACACCAGACAGGGCAGGATGGGGAGCGGGAGCTATCGGGAGAGTGGGGACAAGGAACAGGGGCGGGGTAACCAGGAGACCTTGATGGGGAAAGAGGGTGTAGAAGGACACAGACTCGTCAACTGTTATGTCACGCGAGTGAAAAAAATGGTGAGACGGCGGGTGGTAAAAGTGCCAGTCAGACGCGTCCAGGGGGAAGCCAAGAAAGATACAGGGGACTGTACGGGCAATGAGCTCGACCCTGTAGGGTCAGCGAAACCTGTGGCTGCTAGGAGTGCGGCCACATGTTAAGCAGGTGAGCAGGGTGGCGCACAGCGAATGGCCACAGAAAATGGGGTGCACTGGCTTGAATCATGGAGTTACGAGCCACCTCCATGACCAAACCAATGCGTCACTCAGCGACCCCATTCTGCTGTGGGGAGTCCAGCAGTGTGTACGACTGGGTGATACCCTCTGCACGACAGACTGGCCAAGCGGACTGGAGGCGAGCTTACCGCCACGCTCGGAGTGGAGACGAAACAATGGCAGGGCGCGGTGGACATGCAAAGGTACAATCCACGGGATAAGAAAGTCAGGCACATCGGCCTTCCGCTCCAGAGGAAACACCGTCGAATAGCGCGTGTAGTCGAAAACGAGCACCAGAAAGTAGAGCTTCCACGCGGCCCAGGATGGAGGCTGGGCCCCAGACGTTCAAGTGCAAGGTCTGAAGTGACGCAGAAGTGGCGGGAAATGAGGAGTGAGGAGCACGGTGCAGCCGGCCCTCGACGCAAGGCGTGCACAGAGGCGCAGGCGAGGGAGGGAGGGCACAGAGCGACACATGGAGACCTAAGACAAGACCGTGCTTGGACATGTGACGGAGACGTGGGAGAGAGGGGTGACCTAGACGATGGTGCCACAGTAGCGACGGGTAAGTGAGCGACTGACACGAGCAAGCCGCAGCGACCTGGGTAGATGCAGCCACCTGGGGAGATGCCCTCACCGGGGGGAACGCGGTGTCCAACGTGAACATGCCAGACACCGGGACCTTGGGGAATGTGGTAAGGGGGGCACCAGTGGCGGACTCGATACAGACTGCGTACCACTCGTGTCCAGGGAACGTAGTGGTGACGCCGAGGTCCTGAAGACAGAAGACATCAACTAGTTTCCTGGGGAACGAGGGGATGTGCAGGCCTGTAAGGCAGCCCTAGGGAACCGCTGGACAGGGAAAGGTGGTGGAGCTACGTATAACTACCGGACCAGAGGAAGGGTCAGCTAGAGCGACGGCTGCGGGGGCGGCAAGCGGCGTAAGAGTGGTGTGGTCGCGAAAGAAGCCGACGGATGCACCAGAGTCCAGCGTGAAGGAGAGTGGTGGTTGTGTCCGCCAGCGGGGGCACTGGCGTGAAGCTAAGGCTAAACAATGCAGGAGATCCTGCGCCCGACGCAGTAGGATAGCCTAGACTACACATTGAAGGCACACCTAGGTTAGACAACACAGGGTAATAGATTTCACGCACACTAGAGTCAACATGATACATGGCATACATAGCAGAGCGAATCGGATCCATGTCTAACTCAAATACCGGCACACGATAACGTACTAGGCTATGCCATTCCGGGAGGGATGATGTGGGCTCGGAGCGGTGTGACAGGGAAGGTCAGACACTGTGCCACAAAGGGGACCAGTCTGAAGCTGGTACTGGCAACTTAATGGGATGGAGCCGCCACCCAGCGTCGAGCTCTCCTGCTCCGAGTGTGCACCCTATGTCTCTCCATTCTCACGTGATGGAGTACGGTGGAGTGTGGTGAAGTGCGGTGACGACGCGCGAGAGAAGACGGCTGGCA